CCTATACCATACTCCATTTGTTTGTTTATTGATAATTTTATGCTTTGGATTGCCATTTTCTTCTACTACCAAAAAATGCAATTTTGTTCTACATAAAAATTAACTCTAGTCAGCAACTTGCAAAACATCGACTCAAATGGTATTCGTACCCGCCACCATCACCTCCGTCAAACCCTGGCGCTGCGCTATTCCCACCGCTCTACCGACAACGGCGCTATTGCACCTTGCTACCGGACATGTTAGTGAGCAGGGCATACCTTTACAACTTACATGGCTGACACACATCAAGGCCTGAATAACTGCTAGCAATACCTCGAAAACGACTATTTTGTCTGTCACATCCTTGCTTCGTTGACTAGATTTGACTTCGTACACCGAATAGATACCAGTAGGTCAGTGGCAGTGCTCGCTGACGACGATAATCGAAGGGTTCGGACGCGTGTGCGCACTTAATATTTGCGGCGACCAATGTGCGGTCGTGAGCAGCACGTCCTTCGCTCAGACACGTTGTGAGCTCATTTTTGCATTACGATATGTTTGCGAAGTTTATTACGGGCCCTGGTGCCAGCTCGTGCCGAGCTTTGCTCTTTTGCAGAAAATTTTGGAATCTCTCGTTTTAGGGCGTGTAATTTTCTACCCTTAGTATTTGACAATTTCCGTGTTTGATTCGCGTGTCCACGACGAAAATATAGATCTGTGTAAGTAGTTCCGCGCAAATTCGTCATGTGGCGTCTGATCAGGGGTGTAACTTTAGCAAAATTCTATCCTGATAGTTATAATTTGCAACTTCTGAAGCTGTATCGACAAACTTATGATAGGAAAGAAAAATCTTCCTGCTTTTTCTGAAATCCGTTTTACAAGAAGTAGAAAAGTTTGTAAAGTAAAAGTATTCCTTAGATGCTATTTTACTTCTACTGCATCTTCGCAAAACTCATGCAATTACGCTACGTACCATGAATGCATACAAGGAAGGATGTACGAAGTTTTGGTATCCTGTGACTGGTCCGCAGTGCACATCGTCCTCTGATCCGTATGTCAGGTATCCTCCGTTGGTTTCCAAAGCCGCTTCCGGATCTAACCAGATGGTGAATATGGGCTCTTCGAGAATACCTCGAACAGGAAGATTTAGTTTGAAAGTACATACAAAAGAAAATGTGTGCCTTTATAAGTGGAGTCGATTAAGACTACTGAGAAAAAGCTATTAATACTTAATCTTCAAGAACACTGTGAAAGTTTGCTTTGATTCGCATACCACTCTTGAGGTTCAAATTCTGATGCTGTTGATTATTAATTAATTTTTACCGCGCCTCTGGAAAGTGTAAAAGATAAAACAGCTGTTGATCAAATCAACAAAAATCTCAAAAGCAGAAGAGAGAGCATCTTTTTCGTTCTTTCAAGCATGCAAACAGCTCAGTTTCACTAGTGCAAAGCTGGTCGCTCTCCCACACAATTTTTTTAAGGTGCGGAGCAGCAAGGCAGATAGTCCATTAATAACGAAGCTTTTGGTGTGTTTAAGCTGGGTGAGTTTAAAAGATAATAAAGTGCGTTTGTACTCGTTAAATTATCATAACAAGCTCTTTTTGCAATCTTGACCTTATAAAGTGCACCTGGAAATAATATACCTTGGTCGATGAGTTCCATTATAAAAGGTTTGGTGTTCGTTTCCTGAGAATCTTCAAATCCCATACCGACCAACCCGAATAAATACTCCTGAACGACACATATGTCACACTATGAAAACGTACGTGGCTAAAAATTGCTCACGTCTTCGTTTGTATGCGTTTCCATGGCAAGCCCAAAGGTTATGTCGCGTATCAAGAAGTCCAGTTCATAAAGCTGAACGGCAAAAATCGAGTTATTTTATGTCTACACATAAGTAAAACGAAAACTGTAATTTTGTTTGTGTATGCTGTTGTACAGGATGGACGTTGACGCTACTTTTAGAAAGCAATTTACTGAGAGCTCCTGTTGTTCCATTATTTTGGACTTAACCTAAGCAAAGTCACTGTCTGAACATTTCATACAATCATGCTAAGAAAATCAGGAAAGCTCATTCTAGTCTAAGCACATCACAACAATGCGGCGATTCGAAACGAAAGGGTCCTGAAGTTAGCCTCTACCACTTTTTTTGCGGCATCGGTTGGGAGGAGAGGCAGAGAAATCACACGGGATGAGTAAAAAAGAGACTGATCAGCAACAGCAGAGACGGGCAAAAGTATATCAGGTCACCGGTTATAAGCTGTAATGTTGCTAAGCTCTTCAAATCTGCTTCAGTCTATGTCATTTCAGCTCCATCCAATCTTGCATTGCAATTCTCTGCCATCTGCCAAACTGTACATTTTAATGCTATTTAAAGTTCATTTTTGTTTTCTACCTTATTTTTCCCTGTTTTCTCACTTCCGTAGTCATTGCCACCCTGCATCAGTAGGTCAACTGCAGCGCATAACAACCTTCTGAGAGGTGAGGGAAGTTACCTACCCGAAACGCTAGCGGCAACGTAGAGCTTAGAATACATGAGCTGCCAGTTTCGCATACCCTTAACTAGAATTCGAACTCAAACTTGAGAAACCATATTCATCCTATTAGGCCAAAAGGTTGGAATTTAGGGGTTTCCATGCTTCGCGAATATGTTAATAGTTTTGAATCACACAT